AGAGACCAATCTCACAGAACCGTTAGTGACTTTTCCGGATCCGGACACGCCGCCACCTGTCAGTGACGCTGTCACATTGACGGGCGGTTCTCCGTCCCAGTTGAGTTCCCTGAATTCCCTGAACAATCTTCATCATGGCATGAGCCCGCCGATCAATATACCTAATATGGCAAATCTACCTACCGGCCAGGAAACTATGAAGTACGAACAGAAAAAGGTGACCAGCGCTTCTAAAACAAAGGTGAGCGATGTCTCATATTATCTTTTGATTATCTCTTTAATATATAAAAAATTATCAATGTTCTATATTTCTTATTTACAATTAAACTTTATATCCTTATAAACTTTATATAACTTTATTAATTAAAAAAAAAAAATTATTAAATAAATAATAGTTAAATATAATAGTAAAACTATGTGGAAAAAATTGTTACTTTGGCTATAAACGGAAATTAAAGACTACGATACTTATATTAATCAAAAATGACGTTGACAACAAGATTTATGAGAGATTTCATCTAGATTTTGATTAGATATTTGATTAAAAAATAATAACTGTAAAATAATAATAAAATACGATAACAGAAATAATAAATTAGAATAAAGCCCGGAGTTATGCACATTTCATATCAATCACAGACATATCAATATGTCGAGGCAGCGAGTCTCATAATATTAAAAACAAGAGTTAATCTCGCGCACGTTATCAGTACATGGACTTCGTCGAGCTATTCGGCGGGTCTCGCGCGTTCCCTGAAAATACATATTTGATAAGAATTGTGCGGATGATTCAGCTCGGATTTGTCGAGTGAAGCATGCGTTCGATAGACATTACAAACATCGACGATAACGTTTAGAGCGGATGTTTAATGACTGAGGTGCGGCTTCCTCCAGGTAGTCTAGGTCAAGGACTACAAGTCCATCTCTGAAAGTGCCGTGCTTTAACTTGCTCACGAAGCGTCTCAGTTTTGACCAATTTGCCTGGTTTTACTTTTCTCTCGCGCTTAATCGTCGATCTGTTTCCACTAGGTCGTCACGGATGGATTTAGCGCCGAGAAGGCGACGGCGAACAGCGCCGAGATGAGAGCCCTGCAAGCCGGTGATGTCTCGTACAAGGAGCAGAGCGCCGCGACGGCGGCGAGGGCACGTGTCGAGCTCGATGGCGTCTCGGCGGAGAAAAGCGTCGCTGCCGCGAGGGTGAGTGCGATTTACTTTTGAATAAATAAAAATAAAAGATGCCAAATTGAACAATCATTGCGAGAAATCATAACGTTTTTGCTAAAGAAATTATGGCAATTGCGTTTATATTATATATGAAATAAAAGACAAAAAACAAATACGTGCGAAAGATATTACAATAAATAGAAATAAATTAGATAAATAAAATTAATAAAATGGATAAATAAAATAAATTGAATAAATTGAATAAATAGGAAAATATATCGATATAAACATTAAAATAAAAATATTTGCGAATAAGTCGGAAGAGAGTCAGAAATGCATACAATTAAAACTCTTTGTGCTTTTATTATTTTCGGTCTGGCGTGAAATAAATACAAACACGATCGGAATCATTCACGAGAGAGTTGCGTATTTTAATGCCTCTTAAAATTAAAGAGGCTCATAAAGAAAGGTTCGAGCGCGTTCGTATACAATATGGTGGCCTGAATGAAAAATCGTAGGTGGGACACAAAGGAGACTCTTTCAAGGTTTTCTGGGCATCTGTCGCTCTCGCTCTCTCTGAGCCTGACCTTTCTCGTTTAAGCGACAAAAGGACCGAGAGGAAGACTCCGTGGGTGCGGCCGCGCGTGGCGAATAATTTGGCACGGAAACCTAACGCGGATAAGGCGCTGTTGCGGGGGTCGTTGACACGCGCGTGCGTTCCGTTTTCCTCAACAACGTGCGTATATGTGTGTGTTGTCCCGTCGCGTTGCACACGATGAAATGCGAAGCTGCGCACTGTGCATCGCGCGAATAAGATCTTTCGATTTTTCTTCCCATGATTTGCGAAAGTACCAATATTGATTTTTAACGGATGTTCTTTTATCTGAATTTATAAAAATGTATTTATCTAAAATTTAATTAAAATTTAATGTTAAACTGCGACGAAAATAAAATTGATAAAATTAAAATATGGAATTTAATCGATTTAATCGAAGTCTTAATATATCTTCCGTTGAAACGGAATGAATTTGAATACATTTCTAACTGTATGACTTTGATAATAATATTTTATTCGATATTTTTGAAATAAGAAAGAGTTTCAATTAAACATTTTAATTACGCTTTTAGTATTTAAAATATAAAGAATTTGCAAGTTAAAAAGAAACATTATATCATCTCGTGAATAATTTAATATATCCGATCGATTACGTTAAATATAGTCTTGAATGCAGTGATGAGAAAATGAAGACAACATAACAATTACATAAGTTGGATTGTCTGAAGAGCAGAAATTTTATATTTTTTTTAAGTAACGTGTTAATCACCAATGTGCTCTTTTTTGTGCATACGTATCTGATAGCGACAGTAATCTCGACCTTGACTATCAGCCAAGGCAATGATTTCGCAAAAAGTGCCGCGCGCTACCGCGAGATACAAGCGGACATCGTGACAAGCGGTCAGTTCGCGGATGCTCTCATGTAATCGTGAGACGCCGTGTCGTTCGACACGAGGAATCAGTTTGGCTTGCGTTCAAAAATGCGCATGCTGCTGACTCAAAAGCCACATAGTAGCCGACCTAGCTGAATTCGCCTAAATATAGATTACGACACGCCGCCAGGCGTAAATAATCGCGAAACGCAAGCTCCGTCAATGCGATCCGGGTCACCCGGTAGAATCAAGCCGTCGCGAACTTTCGCAAATTCGATACGATTCATCCTGTTATCTATTTTTTCTCTCTATGAATAAAAAGTAGAAAATGAAGGAATCGTATATTTATGAGAAAAGATATAAAATTGCTATCGAATTATTAATTTTATATATAAAATACACATGATCTAATATAAATAACTATTTTATAAAATTTATAACGATTAAATAAAAATATATAACGATATTTTTATAAAATATAATATGCTTTGGAAAGATTTTAAGTCATTATAATTTTAATAATACAACAAAATATTGACATTTCTAAAATCACATATGTTTTCCACATTATTTTCACTTTAACATACGAAAAATAATTAAATCTTCAAATCAAATATTTCCCATTATTTAGATTTTGATTCTACATTATTGTAATAACAAAAAATTAATCTTTTTTCTAATAACATTTAATCTTTCAAATATCGAATTTTGCAATATATTTCATACAATACAGTCACAAAACAAAGAAAAATAATTAATTTTATAAACATGTGCGTTGATAGCGCCTTCGCGTGAGTCGCGTAGGTAGATTCAACTGGCAACAAAAAAGCTCGATTAGCTCGGAAGGAAGATAAATCATCGTCTTTCCTGGAAAAGACGAGAAGAGGTGCGTGCTCGTCTCGAAAACCGCGGACGATTGCGTGCCATTTCGTCCGTGGGTGTGTTCGGTCCGTTATTTTTTTTTTTTTCTTTTTTTACGATCGTGCTATCCGTGCTATCCTTGACCCCACGTGTCGGCCTTGCGACATTCGATACACGAACTTGTTCTCAACGCGATGCAATTTTGACGTAAATTATTTTTTTCTTTCAATCCGAAAATACGCGAAATCTCGAGCCAATAATAGCGCACAGCTGAATGTACCTCATGAGCGTCGAAATGATTTATCGGATTCGATTATACGCGCATAACGAATTAAAATAGGATACTCTATATACACATCTGATAAATGAACATTCTATTGTACTTATCTTTGTACTATTCGCGACTTGGAAGCTTTTCCAAGAGATGTCGCCAGATTTAACTTAAAGAACGTTTTCCATACTGTCTCATTGTTAGAATATTGTTCGAGTAGATCTACATCTCTCATTGATACAAAATATCGTCTGTTGCAATTAATAGCTATAACATTTTTTTCGTATTTACTATTATCTTTTGAATAGTCTACGACTTGTAGGATAATTTATTTAATACAGAGAGAAATTTAATATAGATTTTTACAAAAATGTATGTTTCTTTTTCTTCGTATTTATATCTGTAACATTATGCTATATATCGATATTTTATTAATATTTATTTTCTAATTTTTTGTAAAATTTACATGCAGTTTTTCTTTTGTTGCAAATATTTCAAGTTACATTTTAAAATAACATACTGTTCTTTTTATTTTATTCATTATAAATTATGCAATTATTATTCTAATAAAGTGTTAAAAGAAAATGTCTTTAATATTGAAGACCTTTTTTTTTTAATTAAAAAAGAACCAGAAGGAAAAATCATTAAGATCAGAGTTTATCGAGAAATGTTAAATAATATTTTTTCTCTAGCATAAAGAATTCTAACTACTTTTTGTTAAGGCTAATTCAAGTAGTACCCACTTTCTTCTACTTTCCTGCTTTTCTACTTTTGCAAAGACATCACCCTCGTTTCCATGGCAAACGGGTGGTAGTCACGGATAGCCGAGTGCGAAAGTAAACCGCAGCGGGTCGATAATTCGCAACCCCCGCGGAAGAGCAGTTTGTTCGCGACGCTGCTCGTTGACGGTCGTTCGGTCAATCGTTGGACGGTCGATTCGTTGGTTTGCATGTCGACCTTGCATGGGACAACAACTGTCGAGGCTGGCGCGGGGCCTCTTCCCGGGTCCGAAGTCCCGCAGCGACACGATGGTCCCGCTTTCTCGTACTCGAATCCTGGCTAACACCTCGCAAATGGTACGACAATCCTAGCTAGTAAATCAATTCGTTTCTTTAGTCGAACTTGAAGGAGGTTGCAAAACTACAGCGGACAATTCTCTATATTATTCTTGTTATATAATTTCTTGTTATATAATTGTGAAATTACGAGACAATTTTCGTTTCACGAATCAAGGGAATACAAAAGAACCTCTATTATTGTTTTCGCGCATCAATCTTCACGCACTTTATAATTAAAATTAAAATTTTTAATTAAAACTAAAATTTTTAATTAAAATTAAAATTTTTGATTAAAATCAAACTTTTTAATTAAAATTTTAATTTAAACTGTACTTTTAAGCAAATAATCATTCCTCCCCCTCCCCTGAAACACGATTCACACTCTGATAAGCGGTTGTTAAGAGCGCGCCTTTTGTCGACGACACCTGGGTTGTCGTTTGATTTGTTGTTTATTTAACGCCGCGAATGCGACGCGGTGTGACATCACCGTTCACATTTCGGTGAGAAGTTGGAAGACGTGCCAGACGATGATGACGATAACGACGATTACAAATACTACTAGGTGTCACCGATATTTCCACCAACCGGAAATAGAGCAAGTATTCTCGGTAGTTAAATTACCCGACCGCGACGTCGCGATTTCAAGGACACGAGCGTCGCCAGAGACACGCGAAGGTTACCGTGAATTTTCCCCGAGGAAGAGCCGTTATCAAATCGACCGATGAGAGTCATGGTGATAAGGTCTCGATGAAAATTCGATAACCGCTCTGCGAAATCTCGGTGGAAACTGCCGCAAGATTACAATTTATGAGCAGTTCTTTTTCTCTTCGCGCAAGTTCGCTCTCTGATATCGAGTTTATGAGGCTGCGAAGATAATTCGGAATAACAAAGTCATCTTACAACCACGGGAATCTTTTTATAACTTCTTGATTAACGTGGAGTCATTGTCTTTTTAATTCATCGAAACATTAATAATAATTTTTGTATTATTTGTACACGTGGCTATATTATAATCCTGCACAATATAATTTATTAATAAATAATAATAAATTATTATAAT